GAAATGGAACTGTGGCTAAAGTGGTAGAGAGCCAGCCTTGAGCAGAAAAAGCCAAGTGAAAGAAGCAAGCCCCTAAGTATAAGTCTTAGTACAGCACGAAAACAAAGAACCTATCACAAACCAACCTGCTACATACCAGGCTCTTTAGCAGCTGCTGGGAATTCAATGGTGGGCAGGCAAATGGATCCCAGTCTCACATAAAGCAATCCATGTATAACAATTGTCTTAGGTAGAAGGAAGGGGAAAGGACATTACAGCTGTTAGGAGCAGATCTAGTATTAGAATCCAGTACTGTTGGAATCTAAGTTCAATATTCAGAAAAAGTTCCATTATGTTAACTCACCTGGGCTTTTCACCAAGAGAGACACTGGTTTAGCCAATGACCCTCTTGTCCCTTGTTACCGAATACTTTCTCTCTTTCTTTTTCTCTCCCCCTCTCCCTCTCCCTCTCCCTGTCTCTTTTTCCTATCCCCTTCAGCGAAAGTCAGACAGTGCAGTGTGCTTTGTACATTCCTTCTGGCTTCAGCTTCAAGTTTGCATAGCAATTTTCAGTGCTTTGGGCTACACCTTGCTTTTCTTCTATAAGTTATCCTGGAGATCACTCCATATACATACAGATTTCCCTATTCTTTTTTTCCAACTGTGAAATATTCCATGATGTGAGTGAAGTTCAGATAATCAATCCCCTATGGATAGATTATTTGGAATTGTTTTCAGTCTTGGGCTTATTAAAATTATGGGAGAAACAGTAGCTTTGTTTACATCTTGTTTTACAGCATGGAAGTAAATCTTTTTCATCTTTTTCTTATTATTATTACTGTGCTGGTCCTGGGGCTTGATCTGAGGGCCTGGGTGCTGGCCATAAACTTTTATGCTAATGGTTAGCAGTCTATCCCTTGAGAGACATCTCTACTTTCAGGGGTGTTGTTGTTGTTGTTGTTGTTAATTAGTTAATTGGAAATAAGAGTCTCATGGACTTTTCTACCCTAAGCTGGCTTCCAACCACAATCCTCATATCTCAGCCTCCTGAGTAGCTAGGATTTCAGGCATGAGCCATTGGCATCTGGCTGGACAATGTGTTTTAAAACATACATTTGATATAAACATTTACACTTCCAAACCAGGCACCAATGGTTCATAATTCTAATCTTAGCTTCTCAAAAACTTGAGACTTGGAGGGTTGGGGTTCAAAGCCAGATCAGGCAGATAAGTCCACAAGACCCCAATCTCCAATTAGCAAAAATTCTAGACTAGAGGTACGACTCAAGTGGTAGAGTACCAGCCATCAGCAAGTGAGCTAAGCAAGAACAAGAGGCCTTAAGTTCATAACCCAACCATATCTACTTTTTTTTTTTTCCAGTCCTAGGCCTTGAACTCAGGGCTTGGGCACTGTCCCTGAGCCTCTTTGTGCTCAAGGCTGGTGCTCTACCACTTGAGCTACAGCACCACTTCTGGCTTTTTATAAGTAATTTATTAGAGATAAGAGTCTTAGAGACTTTTCCAGCCTGAGCTGGCTTTGAATTTCTATCCTCAGATCTCAGCCTCCTGAGTAGCTAAGATTACAGGTGTGAGCCACCAGTGCCCAGCAACATTTCTAACTTCTCTTAAAATTTACAAGATTTCCTGGGTGCCAGTGGCTACACCTGTAATCCTAGCTACTCAGGAGGCTGAGCTATGAGGACAGAGGTTTGAAGCCAGCCAGGATAAGACAGTCTATGAGATTCTTTTTTTTTTTTTGGGGGGGGGAGGGTTCAGTCGTGGGCCTGAACTCTGGGCCTGGGCGCTGTCCCTCAGCTCTTCAGCTCAAGGCTAGCGCTCTACCACTTGAGCCACAGCGCCACTTCCGGTTTTCTGGTGGTTTATTGGAGAGAAAAGCCTCATGGACTTTCCTGCCCAGGCTGGCTTTGAACCGCGATCCTCAGATCTCAGCCTCCTGAGTAGCTAGGATTACAGGTGTGAGCCACCAGCGCCCGGCTGATAGTGAGACTCTTATCTTCACATAACCAGCAAAAAGCCAGAAGTAGAGCTGGAACTCAAATGGTAGAGCATTAGCCTTGAGCAAAAAAGCTCAGACAGCACACAGGCCCTGAGTTCAAGCCCCAGGATAAGCATCGCCCCCCCAAAAAAAAAACAGTTTGTGCAATAAACAACAAAAGGAAATCACAATATAAGTTGACTGTCTTAGTTAATTGGGTGCGTATGCCTACATGCACAGTGAGCTCCAGAGATTTAGACCACAGAAATACTCTCAATTGTGATTCTTCCTGAGGTGGTTAACCTGAGGTAAGCCCCCTCTGGAAGGTTCTATGGCAGGGAACAGTCGCCTTCTCTCTCGTAACACCTTACCAAGAATCTCATGTTGAGTCTTCTGGGCTGGTTCTGGGATGGTTGCTTGTCCCTAGAGAAAAAGACTAGCTCCACCTGAGTTTTATTTTATGAAAGTACGTGTATCCTGGTGCTGGGGCTTGAACTCAGAGCTTGGCCACAGACTGTCCCTTAGCTTTGTCACTCAAGGCTGACTCTTTTTTATTTTATTTTTTGGTCGGTCATGGGCCTGAACTCTTGGGCACTGTCCCTCAGCTCTACAGCTGAAGGCCAGTGCTCTACCACTTGAGCTACAGTGCCTCTTCCAGCTTTTTCTGCTTACATGGTGCTGAGGAATCGAACCCAGGGCCTCATGCATGCAAGGCAAGCACTCTACCACTGAGCCACCTTCCCAGCCCCAAGGCTGAGTCTTTACTACTTAAGCCATCTCTTCTCTTCTGGCTTCTTGGTAGTCAATTGCCAATACAATGAGTCACAATGCCTTTTCCTTTGGGGATGGGGAAGGAAGTCCAAATTGGTTCTGATGCTCCTCCCTGGACCAATCACTGTAGCTGAAGAGAATAATGTTCTGATTGGCTAAGCCAGTAAGAGAGGGAGGAGTCAGTTCTGATTGAAATGGAGCTGTCTCCTTTCCTACCTTCAGTTTAATAAGAGTCACACTGACTCTCCTGTTCAGGCTGACTTTGAACCTTGATTCTTAGATCTCAGCCTCCTGAGTAGCTCAGATTACAGGTATGAGCTACCAGTGCCTGATGCTATTAAAGTTCTTAAGACCACCAACACTGGTGATAGATAGGGTCTTCAGGGAAATCATAGCCCTGTGTTCCTAGAAAACAAGATGCATGCTGGGTAGGAAAGACCTTCATGTCCCACACCAGTGGGGAGCTGAGAGCCCCCTGTATCATTGGGTGAGGAAGAATTGGTGCAATTGGGTGGTACGCACATCTGGCTACTCCTGAGACCAATAGACAGAGCTCAAACTCGCTAGACAGGCAGAGAGCCAGGAGGAAGGAGGAGGAATCAGAATGCAAGGGTTCAAGGACAATGCCTGTGAGCTATGGAGGAAATGAAGGCTTGGAAGAGGGGCAGCAGAGTCTAGGAGGAGCCTTAGTGCTCTGCACCTCAGGACATGGCATGCCTGCAGCGAGCTGGTATTCATCTAAGGAGACAAGGTGGCCCTCCAAGAGGGCAGTGACATTAATTGGAAGCCCTGGTATCACTTGTACTGTGGCAGATGCCAGAGGCAGCAGGCTCAGTTGCCACACTGTCTGTCCCAGGCTTATTACCTTATGTTTGGGCTAGACATGATAGATTCCTGGGACCAAAGACTGAATGACTCAGTCAGAATAGGAGGGGGTGAAAATCAATACCAATGATAGCAAGGGAGTGAAGAACCAGTGTAGGAAGCTAGGGATGATAGGAGGCCTGAAAAAGGAATCAGAAGAGAGAAGCAGCCAGGTACTGGTGGCTCACACCTATAATCCTAACTGATCTGAGGATTATGGTTCGAAGCCAGCCTGGGAAGAAAAGTTCTATGACATTCCAGAAATAGAGCTGTGGCTCAAGTGGTAGGGTGCTGATCTTGAGCAAAAGCTCAGGGACAGAACCTAGGCCCTGAATTCAAGCCCCAGGACCAACATAATAGAAAAAGAAAAAAAAGAGCTGCTTGGGCCTGAAGGTCTCATTCAAAGTTTAGTTTTCTAATTATTCAATTTATATGTATATTTTTTATTTTACTTTAGTAATGTAATATATTCATATGCTTATACAATGAAACAATACAGACATCTTGTAATAAAAAGCAACCCCTGCCAAGTCCTGGGCCACTAACTTTTTAATGATTTGTTTTTAGCCTGGCTAACATTTCCTTCCTTCCTTCCTTCCTTCCTTCCTTCCATCTTTCCTTCCTTCCTTCCTTCCTTCTTTCCTTCCTTCCTTTCTTCCTTCCTTCCTTCTTCTTTCTTTCTCTCTCTCTTTCTTTCTTTCCTTCTTTCTTTCTTTCCTTTCTCCCTCTCTCCCTCTCTCCTTCCCTTCCTTCTTTTCTTTCTTGCTTTCTTCTTTTTTTCTTTTGTCTTTCAGTACTGAGGTTTGAACTCTGGGCCCCGTGGTTGTACTCTACCATTTGAGATGTCTGTAGCCCTGCTTTTTTTTTTTTAATAACTAAGAGAGCTAGCAGTTTTGTTTTGTCTTTAACTTTTTTTTTCCTTTGGTTGGTTGTGGGGCTTGAACTCTGGGCTTGAGCGCTGTCCCTGCGCTCTTTAGCTGAAGACGAGCATTCTACCAGTTGAGCCACAGTACCACTTCCGGTTTTCTAGTGGTTTATTGGAGTTAACAGTCTCATGGACTTTCCTGTCCAGGCTGGTTTTGAACCACAATCCTCAGATCTCAGCCTCCTGAGTAGCTAGGATTACAGGTATGAGCCACCCAGCGCCCGGTAAGCTAATAGTTTTATTTTCACATTTCACAATACAAATGAAATCTGTATTTTCTGTCCCGATTCTCTCCTCGAAATCTGTATTTTCTGTCCCACTTCTCTCCTCCACATCTATTCTCTTAATAAAAGGAAGCAAGTCTTCCTTGTCATGCCGTTGGAAAACATCCAGTGTCACCAATGATCTCCTGGTGAAGTTGAGCAAATAATTTACAACTGATAAGGCCCCCTCCACCCTTTACTCTTATCTGTCTGGTCCAGTCATTCCTGACTGAGTGGGCACCATCATGGGACAAGCAAGAGGCCCCATCGTTGGAGGCCCAGGCATCATTGGCATGTGACCTCCCATGGGTGGCCTCATTCCAGGAGCAGGTCTCACAGGCATCATCCCAGGAGGAGGTAGGCCCATCATTGGCATTATGGGAGGGCCTCCCATGTGGGGGGCTGGCATCATTCCAGAGTGAAGAGGACCTGGGAGATTGGGAGGATGTGGGAGGATCATTGCCCCCACAGGAGGAGGAGCAGAAAATGGAGTAGGAGGTGTCTTTCCTTGTTGAAATACAGCAGTTAGAACAAAAGAATGAAACATACTTATCTTGTTGATCAGGCTCTGAGCCTGTTCTTCCAGCCATTTCTTTTTCTTTTTTTTTTTTTTTTGGTGGGTTGTGGGGCTTGAAGTCTGGGCTTGGGCGCTGTCCCTCAGCTCTTCAGCTCAAGGCTAGCACTCTACCGCTTGAGCCACAGCGCCACTTCCGGTTTTCTAGTGGTTTATTGGAGATAAGAGTCTCATGGACTTTCCTGCTCTGGCTGGCTTTGAACCATGATCCTCAGATCTCAGCCTCCTGAGTAGGTAGGATTACAGGCTTGAGCCACCGGTGCCCGGCTTCTTCCATCCTTTCTTTATTGTAATCCTTCCACTTCTGATAGTAGTCTTTTATATTCTCTTTGTGTTTCCTACCACTGTAGTGTGTCTTTCTCACAGATGGAGAGTCATGAGTGAGGTATGTTTCACAGTAGTCACAATAAAACTTGGGCATGTTGCTGTGTGGACTGTTGCCTTGCTTTTTTGTACTTATTTATTTTTGTTGGTTTTGAGGCTTGAACTCAGCCTGGGTGCTGTCCCTTAGCTCTTCAGCTCAAGGTTAGCACTCTACCACTTGAACTACAGCGCCACTTCCGGTTTTCTGGTGGTGTATTAAGAGTCTCCTGGACTTTCCTGCCCAGGCTGGCTTTGAACCACGATCCTCAGATTTCAGCCTCCTGAGTAGCTAATATTACAGGTGTGAGCTACTGGCGCGTGACTTTGTAACCCTGCTTTAAAAAAAAAATTATATTTTATGTTTATGTGGTACCAAGGAATCAAACCCAAGGCCTCATGCATGCTAGGCAAATAATCTATCACTAAGCTACATTCCCAGCCCCCAGCCCTGCTTTTTAACTGGTTATTTTGGAGATGGAATCTAGCAAACTCTTCTACCTGGACTGGTTTTGAATCATAATCTTCTAGATTTCAGACTTCTATAGACAGAAGCCACCAACACTCAGTTTGGCTATAATTTCCTTTTTCTTTTATTTGTGTCTGAGAGCAGGACTCCAACTTGATATCTGACATATTCGTTCATAGGCTGTTGCTCTACTACCTAAGCCATGCCTCCAACTCCTTGGCTAACATTTTCTTTCTTTCATTCTTTTGTTCCTTCTTTCTCTTGGAGCTTGAAATCTGGGCCTGGGCACTGTCCCTGAGCTCTTCAGCTCAAGGTAAAGGCTCTACCACTTGAGCCAGCACGCCACTTCTAGTTTTCTGCTGGTTAATTGGAGATAAGAATCTCATGGATTTTCCTGCCCAGGCTGGCTTTGAACCATGATCCTCAGATCTCAGCCTCCTGAGTAGCCAGTATTATAGGCGTGAGCCACCAGGACCTGTCTTGGCTAACATTTTCTGAGTGTGCTTGTCACATGCCAAGCCCTGGGTGTACATTGCTTTGTCCAGCACTCACAAGATACCATTTCTACATTCATTTTATAAATGGGAACAAAAGGTGTTGGAGAGTTAAGTGATCAGCCCAAGGTCACACGGCTCCTGAGCAACAGAAATGAGATTCTAGCTCAAGCGAACGTTTGACTCCAGACCCTGGGAGTGTGTTCACTCACCACACTCTGGTGATTCCTGTTAGAGATGGATTACCTTTGCTCCCTGATTTACTCACTGGAGACATTATCTATTGACTCCTTAGCCTGATTGATGAGGACTCATTACACTGAATCCCCCATCTCTGTCTACCTATTTTAGACCCATATGTGGTAATGGTATTTACTTGTGTGTTGGGTACCTTTGAGGCTTTAAAGAATTCACTGAAACCTCAATTCCACCTTCTTACTCTACAAACAATTGTTGATCGCTTATGTAGAGAGTCATTTGGGAGTTGAAGAGTAGAAAGACAATCTTGGATTTTCTTATTATCCATCCTCATCTAGGATAACACCAGCAGTGGCAAGTGCTTGATAAATATCTGTGCCTGCCAATGTATACAGAGTAACTGAGCTCTGAATGTGGGAGATGACCAGGAAATCTCAGGCAAGTGAAAGGCAATGTAATTGCAGCCTGCAGTGTCAGCCTGACTTCAGAGACACAGCCTCCTGCTGAGAAGGAAAGAAGGAGCTACAAAATGGAAATTGAAGGCAAATCACTCTGGAGCAGCTGTCTGGAAGCACTTCCCTCGTGAGACACTGGGTGTGCAAAATGACCTCGATCCAAGGTTGTCTAAGATTTATATACCTAGACTGGCCTGGCCAGCTACCCCTGTCCCCCAAGAACTCACTCTACAGAGCCTTCTTACCATCTCTCCCTTCTGAGACTGGCTGTGGAAAATCCAGCAGTTAGAGATACAGCCACCTGCTACAGGATGTCAGAAATAAAGTGCAACTTGGCACTGGGGGCTCAGCCCTATAATCCTAGCTACTCAAGAGGTTGAGATTTTAGGTTTCAGGTGCAAAGCCAGCCTGGGCAGGAAAGCCCATGAGACTCATCTCCAATTAACTTCTGCAAGCATGAAGTAGAACTGTGGTTCAAAGATGGCTGGATCCCACCTCAAGTTTCTGGAGTGAGGCCCAAGAATTTGCCAAACATCAGGTGAGCTGGAAGCCACTAGTCTTATTTTCACCTTGATAATGACTGCAGGATTACCTCTGGTAATCCTCCGCAGGTGATCTGAGACTGTTTTCAAAGATGAGATTTCATGGGCAACTTTCAGGTGAGCTAGGGAAGCAGATAGGATCTAATCATTGAGGTGACCTTCTTCCCTTTTTGCAGGCAGGAGTGACAGCTCAATATTTCATGTCCTTTTCCTTTGCTTCATTTGCTCTGGGAAGGACTGCCTCCTAGCCCTCTCTGCCAGGCTTGGTTGCCAGACTGAGACCAGAGACTGAGGGCTCCCAGGCAGCTTGATTATTCCCTAACTGCTGCAAGTGGCCTGAACATTCCAAACCCTCTTTGGTCTCAGTCCATGATCAGCTACTAGTACAGAGCAAGAGATGGCTGGATAGAGCTCATGGCTGGAGCAAGAGAGGCAAGACAGAACTCCCTAATTAATTCTGCCCAGCCTGAAGGGGACGAGGAGGTTTTGCAGGTTTTGTGGGCAGAATTTCAAGAGCTTTCAACTCAAAAGCTTCAAGGTGTGGGGCAGAGCTGGGACTGAAAAGAGGGACCACCCAGAGCCAGGGTATTGCCAAATTCCAGAGCGAAGCTCCTTCAAATTCTAAATTTTCTTGTTTTGTGCCAGGTCTGGGGGCTTGAACTCGGGGCCTAAGCACTGTTCCTTTGTGTTCAAGGTGAGCACTCTACCACTTGAGTCACAGCTTCACTTCCACTTGTGTGTGTGTGTGTTTAGTTTGATATAAAAGTTTCACAGAAGCTGGGCACCAGTGGCTCATGCCTGTAATCCTAGCTACTCAGGAGGCTGAGATCTGAGGATTATGGTTCAAAGCCAGGCTACGTAGAAAAGGCTGAGAGGCTCTTATCTCCTATAAACCACTAGAAAACTAGAAATGGTGCTGTGGTTCAAGTGACAGATCGCTCGCCTTGATCTGAAGAGTGCAGGGACAGCGCCCAGGCCCAGAGTTCAAGACCCACGACCAAAAAAAAAAAAAAAAAAGTTTCACTGACTTTCTGCCAGGAGCCTGGCTTAGAACTGCAATCCTCAGCTCTCACCTTCCTGAGGATTACAAGTATGAGCCACCAGCACCTGGCTTCATATTCTAAATTTGTCCTTGAAGCTGGGTACCAGTGGCACAGCTTGTAATCCTAGCTGGAGTCTGAGATCTGAGGGTCACAGTTCTGGGCCAGCCAAGGCAGGAAAGCCCATAAGACTCTTATCTCCAATGAACCATCAAAAAGCCAGAAGTGACACTGTCTCTCAAGTGGTAAAGTGCTAGCTTTGAGCACAAAAGCTAAAGTACCCCCCCACACACACACCAGACCTAGAGTTCAAGCCCCAGGACAGGCAAAAACAAAACAAAAAAATGAACTTGACCCTTCAAAGTCATGAAGGAAGAATATTTGTCAATATAGAAAAAGATAGAACAGATATTATTTAGAATGAGTAACCTTAATTTATAATTTCTGACCCTTCAGACAGTTGATGTGTGGGCCTCTGTTTTTATTCTTGGTCAGGCCTTGTTTAGAGTAAAATTGACATTTGGAGTAACCCAGAGATGTGAGCGGTTTAAGAAAGCATGATTATTTCAGGAAGATCTTTGCTGCTCCGTAGGGTAAAAATTATCAGCTAGAAGTCCCAAGTACCACTGTCTCCTTAGGGCCTGGGAGCATGCAGGAGGGATTTCTCTCCTACTGAGAGGAGAGGTTAAAAACTGGTTCCAGTTAAATGAGAACAATGTTTCACCTCATTTAACATTAAGAAGAAGCCTCCAGACCAGGCATAGAAGCACATGGCTGTAATCTCGTTTACTAGGGAGGCAAAATCTCAGTTACTAGGAGGATGGATGGTTTGAGGCTAGCCCAGGCAAGAGTATGAGACCCTACCTAAACGTAGAAGAAATGAAGGTGCAACTCAAGTAATGGAGCAGTTACCTAGAAAATGTGAGGCCCTGAGTTCAATCCTTAGTGCAGAAAAATATGTTTAAAAAAAAAAAAAAAAGGAATCTGAGCCAGGAGCTGGTGGCTCACACCTGTAATCCTAGCTACTCAGGAGGCTGAGATCTGAGGATCGAAGTTCAAAGCCTGCCTGGGCAGGAAAGTCCATGAGGCTTTTCTCTCCAATAAACCACCAGAAAACCGGAAGTGGTGCTCTGGCTCAAGTGGTAGAGCGCTCGCCTTGAGCTGAAGAGCTGAGGGACAGCACCCAGGCCCAGAGTTCAAGCCCCACAACCGACCGAAAAAAAAAAAAAAGAAATGTAGTCTGAATCTTGGGAGGTTTAGAAATGAGGTTCTAAGAAAGTTGAACCATGGTTAAATGTGGGGAGGAGATAAGAGTAGGGTCTCCCTCAGAACGACTTTTTTTTCCTTTGGGCAAGTGACATCAGCTCTTTAAGCCTTGGTCTCTTGAGTGTTAAATGGCAAGGATTGTAGAATTTATACAAAGGTTTATGCCAAAGCCTTTGGTCCTAGGACTGCATCAGCTGGGTTTTTCATGATAGCTATTATTTGTGACCTCGGGGTTAATTTATTCCTAACTGCTATGGCTTCCTTCCCAATCAACCTCACCCTAGGTAAAATTTGACATGTTGGAGCCATTTGTTCTCTAGGTCCCTGGTTTTCCCTGTAGATATGCCTGCCCTGCTTGAAGGCCCTGTTCCTCTCATTTTATAAATCCAGCATCCTTCACTGATAGCCAAGTTCCCTGGGCTCCTGACTCAGTGGTTCTGATTAGCCAGGTTAGTAAGGAACCAAGGAATTTTAATGATTTCTCAGAAAATTTCATACAAGAGATAACTCTTGAAAACAAATGTTTGGCTGAGAAGCAGATTTCTGTGTAATCAAGTTTTTGTTTTGTTGTTGTTGTTTATGGTGCTGGTCCTAGGA